TGCTCCAAGCATCCTTGTCTTATAAAAATATAAGGGCAAAAATCCTGACTGCTTGAGCAATACAACAGTGGACCCAATTGCCTCGGGAAGCTGTAGGCTCTCCCACAGTGGAGGGATTCAAGACGGACACCCATCAGTTCGGGATGCTTTAACCTGGAGTCCTGCGTCTAGCAGGGAGCTGCACCTGATGGCCATCTTGGCTCCTTCAGTTCTAAGAAAAGGAGGGTCCTGTTGAATCACAGCATGGTTCCACCTGGTCTAATATCCTGTTTTCCATGATGGCCAAGCAGAAGGCTTTCAGAATTTACAAGCAGAACATGAAGGAAACACAGTCCTCACCCAGAGTTGTTCCCCAACAACCAGTTTTTAAAGACACTATATCTACAAAATCTGAAAGTTACATGTAGCCACCATGACTAGTAGCCTGATAGACCCATCCTGATAGAATTTGTCTTATCATGTATTAACACTGACTATGCCAGTAGCCATCACCATATCTTATAGACGCAAAGACAGTAAATTCCTCAATGCAAACACATTTTTGCCAATGCATTCAGGATTGACAAAGGAAATACTTCCCTCAATGCATTTCCTTTGTCAATCCTGAATGCACCTCATTCGGGTTCACTAGATGACACTTGCATTCTGAGATTATGAATGAGGGATAAAACCTCTCATTTCTGCACAAGATACTTAAGTCTAAAAATCTCTATCATATCCCCTCTTAGACACATTTTCTTCTGACTAAAACAAGTCCCTGACCTTTCTTCACAAAGATATTGCTCCAACCCCTGGATCATCTTGGTTTCTCTCTTCCGTACCTTTTCCAGTTCAACAGTACATGTACCCTCTGCTACTGCCCCATTCAGCTTTTAGGCGTACGCAAGCAACGCACAAGGCACAGAGGACATGCAGTCCCAGTTAGAAGGGTCAGAATCTGCTGGACCTTGATAACACAGAACAGTGGAAGAGAACAGCCACACTTGCCCGAGCCTAAATTTGGCTTGACATATGAACAAAAGGATCAGAGGGGCTGCAGGTGGTGCCTAGTCCAAAGTGGGCAGCAGTTCCTACCCAAAGAATCCAAGTCAAGGACGGGCAGAGGTAGGAGTTCAGCCAAAACCGGGCATGGGTCAACATGCAAAGCAGCCATCAGGAAAAGGAAGTTATGCAGTGTCCTCAGAAACAGACTCAGGATGGAGCACTGCTGGATAGGGATTGGTCCTAAGCGTTAACTGACAGTGCTCAGGCAGGCCAGGTCAGCATCCAGATGGCACCTTCAAACACGAAGCTCAATTCACCAAATCTGCAGTAGAACCAGAGTTCTGGGAGTACAGAAATCTGGGCAAACATGCCGACCTGCAGTGCCTGAATTCAGAACACAGGTGAACACATGCAGCACATTACAGCGCTGAATTCATGCTTTGGCATGTGTTCAGCTTAATGGGCTTTTGGCTATGGTCTGTGATGCAGTTTCATTCTACAACAGAGGAGAATTATATCATTAGTGGGACAAGGAAGCCATACACTCTCCAAAGTAAAGCCATGCATATATTGACTCCATGGCCCACTGAGGAGATAGAAGCACCAAAATCAGACAGAAACTGTTCCCATCATTCCCTCTTATGAGGGTTTTCAACAATTAAGGCTAATAGAATGACCTATCTTTCAGTCCAGCATTTTCCACCTGTGTGAGCCTAATTATCATTCACATTTCAAGGTGACAACCAACAGAAGGGGCAATGAAGTTAGCGGAGAGCCTTCCCATTTGAGCCCTTGCAGTTTGACCAAGGTGCTGCAGTTGGATAGCTCATTTTGAAGCCACTGTTATGAAGCCAATTCATTAAGAGTTCATGGACCGCAAACCTCCCTTCGTTGCCTGGCTCGCAACAGGGAAAATGACTTGGCTCTCAACGCCTCCTGCAAGGAACACGGTCTTGCTAGGTAGCTCTGTCTTAATATTTCATGTCAAGCAGCTATGGGACAGCTCCCTTGCGGATGAACCAAGCTGCTGGCTCACCACTCTTCGTGACTCTTTTGCAAGATGAGCTGCCACCGCCTTTATAGGAGAATAGGAGAAACAAGCAGAGCACATAGCAGAAATGCCCCGTTGCTCCTGCCAACTTTTTAGAGAATTGCAAATAGAAACACTGGAAACTGCATTGCACAGAGCCGGAACATTGATCCATTAAGCCTAATACTGCCAACACTGTCCGGCAGTGGCTCTTTGGGATTTCAGGCAGGAGTTTTGCCTGGAAAATCTGGGGGTTGAACTTGGGACCTTCTGCCTACAAAAATCTGCTCTCCCACGGAGCTTAGCCCTTCCCTTGAACTGTATGTGCTGGATCCACACAGCCACAAACAAAGAAGTTTCCTGGATGCTTTATACCTGAAGCCATACAGTGGGAGTGGGGAATATGTGACCCTCTAGATGTTTTTGGACTGCAGTTCTTAACAGTCTTAGCCAGAATAGCCAATAGTGGCCTGCAGGTCCTCAACATCCCAAGGGCCACACGTTCCCCACCCTAACATAGAGGACTGTTCCATTCAGAATCTAATCATATGGTGCGGGTCACCACCATACCCAGAATCCAACCCCCCCATGCCGCAGTATACTCTGTAGGCCTGAATTGGCACAGTGGGTGACCGTGTGCATCAAGCTCACAACGCTGAAGCAGTCTCCGTGTAGCTGGACTTTCAACAGGCCATGTGGTGGGCTGACTTCTGAGTCTACTCAAGCAGGCATTTCACTGGGAAAGAATACGGTAGTTGGTCAGTCAAATTTTACTGTCAGTCAGTCGGACTGGCAGAAATAAGGGAAAGTGAAAAGCAACAGCATAACATGCAAATGTGTTAATGACATGCTTTAAGACAGCTGCTGGGATCAAGAAGGATATATTGGTCCCTACACACCAATTCTCTGGCTGGGCACATTAAGGAGAGGCATTATTTTCCTCCGAATAGTTCATTATTATGGGCTATTGGATAATGGACTTCACAGATCAATGGGAAATGCTGCTGTCTGAAATACTGATATTTCTTCCTGCTCTTCTAAAAGATAGTGATGAAAAAGGAACAGGAGACATCAGAGACTTTTATGTAGAAAAGGCACCTGGAATGACTGAGACTTCACAGTATTCATGGGAAAACAAAGCACCCCAGAAACCGTATTCCTAACCTTCGCAAGACTTCCTCACCGCCTCCTTCTGCTCATTCTGAAGCGCCCTGCACCAGGGCTGAGCCTTAGGAGTCCATATTCAAAGCCATGCTTCAGCCCCAAGATGAACAGAATGCCTATCAGCAACCACAGACAACTCATGCACTTGTAGGCTTGAGCCCTAAAACCTCTTGTTCTATATAAATTAAGCCTAGACCTTGCACAAAGACTTGGGCACTGTAATTTCCTGGGCATGAAAGCAGCTGTCCAGACCAAGGGTTGCAATGTTGCATTTCGTTGCCATATTCATAGTGCCGGGATTGCTCACTTAAGAAACTTATGGGAGGCATGGAATGCCTCTGTAGCAACTTGAGGCGAATCACTTAGTTGCAGCTGGTACAAACTGAATGCAGTGCCTTTCACACCCTGTACTATTTATCACAAGCTACGCATAAAGCGGAAATCATGGGCCCTAGAGCAGAATATGGGAAGTGTGCTGCTCCTTCCCTAAAGGAAGCTTGCTGGTGTCTCGGTGCTCGCTTGCGCTGGATAACTCAGTCACAGAAACCCAAGAGAAAAGGAGAGAGGTGCAAGACTGTGCCATTCGCTTACAGACAGAGCCACGCAAGGCACACCAGAGGAGGAGGTGTGTGCTAGATGGATGGATCACATGCAGGCAAGTGCCATCTTATCAAAGAATCTTATCAAAGCCATCTGGCAGAAGGGCGAGAGGGTGCCGAGCCACAAGGATCACAAGAAGCAAGTTTAGTCCTCATCCCCACCCCCTTTTGGTCCTGCAGGCACCCCCATTTTTTCTTCCATACAGCCAAGCAGCTACTATTTGTTCCTATGAGAAAACGTAAAGCCCTGCACCTGGGGACAAACCAATCCTGCCCCCCCTTGACACAAGCACCCCAGTGCAATACACTGACCTCACCATATAGCCCCATTCCCCATAACTGGCAGTTCACTAGCACCACATAAAAAGAAATACATCATTCCCTATCAAATATTCAGTATGAATACAGAAGAAGAAAATATCTATTTATAAAAATAAGCTGACCGAGAAAGCTTTTTCAACTAACTGCATGCAATTGGTTGCAATTATCACTGCAGTTTTTATTTCCAAAAGTTAGGTTGGGAGAAAAAAGATCAAAAGGCCAGAAGCAAGACTTCTTGTCCGCTCTGAGTACTACATGGCTTCAATCATACTAGGGGGGAAAGATCTGTGAAACATCTACAAGTGACCACTCTCAATCTGGATATGATCATCAATCTTCATTTTGCACAGGAATTTAATTTCAGGTCCCTTGTGGCATCCAATTATGGTTTAATATGTTGTAATTTAATTAAAATGCTACTCAGAACAGCTCTGAAAGGAGAATAACATGCACACACAAAAAAATTGTAAACTTTTAAAATGTAATCATTTGTCCCTATGAGAAATGGTGTATCCTCAAAATTAGATTAAAAGTTGGTCATCTTGCTCCATGCCTGCCTTACCTACTGTAACAAACTCTAGGTTCATGTAATGGAAATAATGCACTTTCTCCGATTCCCCCGCCTGTGTATCCTTTCTCTTCTTTTACTATCTCTCCGGAGTCCTGTTAGACCTAATAAAGAGTCTGCATTCTGATAGTGTTGTATCAGTAGAGAAATATACACATGATTTATGCATCATTTACAAATCACCATCTAGCTATTGCCGAGAGTTGCACAGGAGCCAATGTGGTTTTCCCTGCTACATGATGATTCCTGACTTAGGAGAGGCAGGAATGCTTCTTATGAGATATCGGGCAACCCTCCCCTGCCCACGAGTGCCCCGCCACACTTACTGACTCACCTGCACTTGGGCCTCCTTTCTCATTAGATAGCGCATTTTGCCCAGGATGCACTGCTGCAGCTGCTCCCACGACATGGCCCGGTCTTCTCGCATCAGCAGTGGGGGGCCAAACCTGAAAAATCACAGAACTTGCATCTTAGAGAATCACCGGCCTATTATGCTCATACCACAAGGAACTTTTGCCGGGGGTAACAGCATCCCCATGCCTCTGCTTGCCTGAGGACACAAAAGACACTTGAGTTTCACTCACTCACTGACAGAAGCATGAACATTTTAAAGTACCTCCTCATAAACCAGAGCCCTGGAATTCAGCACACACATAATAGAATAGACGCCAATTACCAGTAAAATCTAAAAGTGGAGTATCTGTTCATTTCTCTCCCAAAGGGTACAGTTGAGGTATGCCTGCACAAACTAGGAATTTGAAATTTGGTTCACGTGTCTAAGATTAGTAGAGGATTGCAGATGGAATATTTACACTTATGTCCTTCAAAACAAGGGACTCACAGTGTACCCTGAAATATTTAAGTTGCTTCCAGGCCTTATATAAAGCTGTTGTTTGGCAGACACATGCTCTGAGACAAACAGACTCCCAGGAATATAATTAAATAAGACATCTTTGTATCCAACAGCAGCACTGAAAACAAGGCAATTTAATCCACAGTACAGGAGAGCTTCTTGAACAGCTTAAGTGCAGATCCACAGGAAATGGGCTCCTGAGGCCTGCACTTGGGAGCCAGGCCCGTTTCAGAGGTGCAAGTATATATGCTTGCACAACACAAGTCATATTTGCTTGTAAAATTACAAGATCTCCATAAATCTAGGAATCGCTCAGCTCCAGTTTTGCCGGGAATAATTTTAGGAAGTGTTTTTGACACTCTCTCTCAAATGTCAGAAACAGACAGAAACATCACTGCTGGACAGATTACTACTCCACCTCATGGGTTCCTGTTCATTTGGGTTTGCAAAGATCTGAGCCCAACAGCTGTCAGAGTCTAATGTTGTGGCCAAAAATCTGTCCCCGGAGGAAACTTTGTTCAGCAGTTTTCCTTCAGTATGAGGAGCAGCAATACCGGGAGATAAAGCTGCTCGCGGATCTTAGCTACTTTTCACAAAGTAGCAGGAGGCAACTGTTTTTCCTTTATACTTAACAGCTTCCTACCCCATCTCATGGGGAAAGAAACTGTGGCCCTTCTGATGTTGCTAAACTATAAGTCCCAATATCCCTGATCATGGGCCAGGGAGTTGGAGTCCAACAACCTCAAGAGGGCCAGAGGTTCCCACTCCTCGTCTATAATGTACTAATGATCTCAGCCATCAAAAGGGCACCTTTCTTCCCAGTCAAATGCCACAAACCATTCAAACTGTGTCTTTGTCTTTCAAGGACTACATGATTGGAGGAAACAGTGACTTATCCTCACTGCAGAATATTTCTGCTATGTAAATAAGCCAAGTGTAAAGTTCCACCAGACAGATGCTCTGAGATGTAGCACCCAAGTTCTTCACTTGAACTACCACCATCATTTTGTACAGACCCATTGTCCTCTGAAAATATATGGCTTCATTTCGAAGCTTGTGGCCTGTCAGGTATACCAGGGGTTGGCATGATACTCCCTCAGGCTGCCACCTCTTTCGAATTTCCATTTTGGGGAGTGGGAGAAGAGCATGCGGCACTCGACACCAGTGCTGAAGGGACATCTGCAGCTTGCTCACCCAGTTCCCCTTTGAACTAGCCTCGTTGCACTCGACTCAGCTGGAGAGCTGAAGAGTGGTAATGGGTTGTGTATTCGTGTTTCATGTTTGCTTAACCTGAGATGGTGCACATGTGGAGCGGCTGCTGGCTACACACTGCCCTCTCAGCTTCCTCTTTGTGCATGAAGGACTAAAGGGAAAATGATCATGAAAACTGTGGTACAAACCCAGCAGGAGGCAATGTAGGCAAAGGAGTGAGAGAAGAGCTTTGTTCCTTCAGGTACTCTCACTCTCTTGTTCATTTGTTTGACTGCTCACTGCCCATTGACTGTATCAGTCCAATTCACTGCATATTTGCTGGTGTTAGGAGAAAGGAGCCCAGCTCATCAGTAGAGCCCATATTTTGGTGACAGAAGGTCCCTGGTTTAATCCCAGCATCTCTTGGTAGGGCTGGGAAAACTTCTGCCTGCAGCCCTGTAGTAGGGTAGATAATGCAGCCTAGTGTAGATAATGCTAAGCTGGATGGACTGTGGATCTGACTTAGTTAAGGTGGCTTTGTTCTTAGAACTGGCCCCGAGAAATCCCCCAACGTGACAGCAGCAAGATGAGAAGGGGCATTCACCCTACGGGACTTCTAAAACCACTCAGCCAGTTTTGCAAAGAGACATTTGGAATACAAGGAAGGAACTGAACTCCACGTGTATTGTCAATGATGGGAATGCCCTTAGTGTATGTCCCTTTTGGAAAAGAGTGATCTAGACAATCCAGCAATCTAAGAAAACCTTGCTTGGTCATTTCCACAGCCATCTACACATTCCATGTACCCATCATCTCTTAGGTACACATGGGTCATATATAGGGGTAACCTGATGATATCTCTATTAATCTCTTGCTAATCAAAAGTTGTTGCCTGGAAATTTTGCATTTTGATTACTACTTCTCAGAAATTTCCTCCGATGAATAATTCTGATCGGTTGTGATCTGATCTTGCACTAGTGTAAGAAGGGTGGGCAGGACAGGAGTTTAGCAAATTTAGGTTAAGCCTATGTGTGCTTAGGGACTATGCAAATTCACTAAGTGGAAACCTAAATCTTATTTTCCACTTCAAAGACAAGGTAAATTTTCGAGGGAAAGTGTTGCCTGATCCAAGCACCTGTATAAAAATTTGGGACAGGCAAGACTTCCCACCATGAACACCGGCTTTCTTTGGCAAAAAGAAAATGTACTTCTAGATTAAAATTAACTTTTCTTAATTCTGTAACAAAAAGCCAATGCAATCTGATTCCAGGAACAACAATGGCAACAGCAAACAGTAGGAACATTTGTTTCATAGCCTTCTTTTTTCCCTGTGCCAAAAGTATTTTCCTTCTTTGTTTTGAAAATATTTTCTTTTTTAATGTAAACATATTTTGCCTTGGGATTAGAGAGACTGCACCTACCCCTTTTAATTTGGACTGTTTGATCCCAGGCTTTAAAAGAAGCTTCAGGCTTCGAGTTGGCAGCCAGGCATTAAAAATGCTGGTGGTAGCAGCATAACTCTCAGCCAGGCTGACAGATTGGAACTCCAGGCTTCTTTGGTTTGCTTGTGTAACTCACAAGAGTGGGTCTCATAAGAGTACAAAGAGAGTTAATGAAAATTCTGGCAAAGGAAGCCGGGGAATGTTTTTTCTTTGGAAAACAAACAGAAAACCCAAAAAAGCCGCCCCTTGCGCCATGCTGCAAAAGGACAGAACAAGGGTAGACATAAAGCAGTTCCTACACACTCCGCTTCCTCCTCTGTAATGTGTCACAGGACCTCTTCCATGGTTGGGCTACTATCAAGTCTCGGCCAGGCTGATCCCCTTTCTATCCCGCGTCCCTAGACCCTTCAACCCTGTGGTTGAAACAGTGCTGCCCAAAGAGGGTTGACATTCAAGGAAGCAGCTTCGGAAAAAGATGGAGGCAGGGCTGGGGAGGGAGAGACAGGCTGGGCCTGCCTAGATAACATGGAAATATCGCTAGATAAATTGTCCTCCATAAAGCTCAGCATGTCACAAGCTGTTTCCCAGACAATGATGGTTTATTAGCTGCTGCAAGCATGCAGAGTATTACTTAATGGCATTTGGGATGTGCAATGCAAATTCATTACCCACCTACAGTGCTTTCGCATCCAATTGCCCTCCCACAAGTTCCCCATAGCCATAGGCTACAAACTGCAGCTCCTGCATCTCCAGAATGGGAATGAGTGGACTTCGGAAGGAAAGAGCACAGGCAGGTCAGGACATCACTGCGAGCTCAATGGTCCAGAGCAGAGCACTGGGGTTGGCCCAGGGTACTCTGTGGCTGTTGTCCTAGGGCAGCTGTGCTGCCTTAAACTGGCAGGAATGATGGTCTACTGTTCAAGTTCTTTGCCATCAAGTAAAGGCTATTAACTTGCCACAAAGCTTGCTTTATCAGGCTTTTACATTAACATTGCAGAATCCAGATGTTGCACCAAATGACACAAAGGAAACTGCTCTTAACAAGCCCAGCTGCTGCTTTTCTGATCATTTCTAGCTTTTCAGAGCTGCTGATTAGCAGACTGGGATGACTAGGCAAATAACTCAATCCCAGCCTGATGTACCTCCCCTCTGCCAGGAGACGGAGACTGCCATGTGATCCCTGCAGCCTTCTCTGTCAGCCCAAGGGAAGCAGGGAAAGGCTGGTTTGTGGAGTAATCCCCACACTGATCCAAGGCAAATGGGAAGGAAGGGTGTGATCAGCACCCCCTCCCAGCAACCCTGAGGAGAAAGCCCCGTCCTACCCTGCCCTTGCACAAGGTTCCTGCTGCCTGAAAGCAGGTCAGCCCTCAAAGACATCATCCTGGCATGAACTCTCTTACCTAGCAGGACTTACCTCACACCTTGCTGTCCTGTCCCGGCCACATTACAAACAAGCAGTAGGATTCTGCCACCTCCACAGTGGTGCAGCACCTCTGATGAAATGGCCCCGTTATGAGCCAAGCGCTGGCCTTCTGGCTCAGAAGTATTGGGAGAGGATGGGAGACTGTGGGGAAATCCTGGAGAAAGGAAAGCAAGTAGAGCTGAGGACTGCCCAGGCAGGGTCTCCTGTACTGAGCATCCACTTCAACAAATGGCTTGAATATAGAGACTGTGGGACTCGAACAAAGCTTTGTCCCAAAGCATCTTGGGGACCACATTCCCTGCCAAAAGACAATGATGGGAAGAACTGAGTGGCAATTGTACATGGACATTCCTCCCTCCCTCCCTCACACACACACACACACACACACACACACAGTATCAGAAGATGATGCCTATGCACACCAGCTTGGGGGGAACAAGGGCAGGGGGTGTGCTTTTGCACTCAGATCCTACTTGTTGGTTTCCCCTCTGCTGCTGGTTGGCCACTGTGTGAACAGAATGCTGGATGAGTTGGATGTGTGGTCTTATCCTGCAGGGCTCTTCTAATGCCGCAGTTGGATATCTGGAACCAAAGTAGCTCCTCCCGCAGGACCTTCCCTGAGGCCTTCCTTCCACTGCAGAAACCTCGGTGTCCTGCAACAGCAGGGGTTGGACCCAGTGGTCTTCAAGGCCCCTTCCAACTCTCCTATTCTATGAATCTATGAACCCTTCTCGGAGTGCTCCCCACACTAGATGTCTGGCTGGCATGCAGCAGGGAGGAAATGGGCGTCCCCCTTTTTCACACACCAATTATGGAATATCCTGCCCAGAAAAATATTCCCACATTCAGGTGGGCAATTGTTCCAACAAGTCATTTATACCTCAAGCTACCCTGCTGCCACAGAAATTAAAGTATAAATAAATTAATGATGGCTGACACCTGTCCCTCTTTCTGGTTCTGCCCCCAGCCAGAGGGTGCCAGGTAGCCTTGTCAGCCGCCCCTCAGGCCTGACAGTGCTGCTGCTCAATGCCAGGTCAGTCAATAAATAATAAATCTTCCCTCATCCATGACTTGATGGTGGATGAGGGGGCCGACCTGGCTTGCATAATGGAGACCTGGGCAGGAGGGGGGGGGATGTTGCCCTCTCTCAACTGTGCCCGCCCAGTTATCTGGTTCAGCACTGTTCATGCCCAGAGGGGAGGGGAGGGGGGGTCGCATTGGTTTACCGAGCCTCCATCTCTCTCACGGGACTTCCGGTCCCTTCGAGGCCAGGGCTGGAGTGCCTCTACTTGGTGGTGGGCGAACGAGACAGATTGGGGATTCTGTTGGTGTACTGTGCATCCTTCTGCCCAACAGTCTCCCTGTCTGAGCTGACGGAGACCGTCTCGGACCTGGTGTTGAGGACCCCCAGGATGTTGGTCCTGGGGGACTTCAATCTCCATGCCGAGTCTGGTCTGACCGGGGCGGCTCAGGACTTCATGGCCTCTATGATGGCCATGGGCCTGTCTCAACATGTCTCCGGCCCGACCCATGAACGTGGACACACTCTGGACCTGGTTTTCTCGACGGGGCAGGAAGAGGGTGACCTGAGGGTGAGGAATTTATGTATGACTCCCCTGTCATGGTCAGATCACTTCCTGGTGAGGTTTGTGCTCAAGAGCGGCCTCTCCCTCTGTAAGGGTGCGGATCCGATGGTGTGGGTCCGCCCCCGGAGCCGGATGGATCCGGATGGATTCCTGAAAGCCCTGGGGGAGTTTCCGGCTGACAAGACTGGTGCTCCTGTTGAGGCTTTGGTCGAACTGTGGAACAGGGAGATGACCAGGGCTGTGGACATGATCGCTCCTAAGTGTCCTCTCCCACCGGGCAGAGCCCGCTCTTCCCCTTGGTATACACCTGAATTGGGGGCGATGAAGCAAGTTGGGAGACGGCTAGAGCGTAGGTGGAGGAAATCACGGGATGAATCTGACCGAACACACTTGAGAGCCCACTATCGGGCCTATGCTGTGGCGGT